CGCTGAAAGCGTACGAATATATCAACACTCGGTGAAACCGGAATTTTTACAGAAGAATCAAAAATGCTTGTATCTCGTCTTACAATTAGAGACATCCTGGGACCTTGCGTCAAAAACACATATATGCTAACTTTTAATGGCCAATCCGGCGGTGCCACTCAAATTTTTTTCTCTTTCTCATTCGAAGACGCCATCATGAATTCCTCCCAATAAACTTAAAACCTGGAAGAACGGTTTTTTCCTGAAATGTTCATGTATGTTTACCCACATATACAATGTGTGCATGCAAAAATTCAACAATTTGTCCAAGTCTATTAGAACCTGAATTCCAAAAGAGTGTTTCATAAATAAAACATTTTTCAGAATACGCCAGAAAACTTCAAATTCAGACTTCGCCAAAAAATCAAAATTGTTTTGATTTTAAATGATCAGTGTACTTTTTCAATACGTTTGATCGTGGCATTAGCACTCGAATAATTTCAGGGAGGCTGTTTTGTAATCAGCGCACTCGCTTATCCCTCACCGAAATCCAGTCCCAGATGGCAGGAGAAATATTTTGATTCAGGATTGATGAAAATAAAGAATAGCTGGCTTGAATAAGCATAACCAAGTACCAACTTACATCCTTCTAATCCAAGGCTCTAAAAAAACAAAGTATTGATATTCTCACAAACAGCTACTACATTCGTAATCAGCATGCTCAGTTACCCCTCTGTGCCAACTCCCAATCCCGTAGCTTGAACTATGCAAAAAATCGATAAAATCAATAAAAGTAGTGGGCAATTTAAAAACTAATATTGTATTCGTAATCAGCATGCTCGATTACCCCCTGTGCAAACTCCCAGCCCTGCATGTCAAAATTTACAAAAGAATCGATAAAATCGATAAAAATAAAGGATGAATCCAAAAACTAATATTGTATTCGTAATCAGCATGCTCGATTATTACCGCCTGTGCCAACACCCAGCCCCGTAGGTGAACTCTGCAAAATTGTCGATAAAAATCGATAAATCAATAAAAGTAATGGATGAATCAAAAACTAATATTGTATTCGTAATCAGCATGCTCGATTACCCCCCTGTGCAAACTCCCAGCCCTGCATGTCAAAATTTACAAAAGAATCGATAAAATCGATAAAAATAAAGGATGAATCCAAAAACTAATATTGTATTCGTAATCAGCATGCTCGATTACCTCCCCCCTGTGTCAACTCCCAGCTCCGCAGTTCAAACTTTACAAAAAATTGATAAAAATCGATGAAATCGATATCGATCGATGACGAAAAGTAGCCCATGACACTCGCCGGGGCCCGATATGTATGTATGCCAAGTTTGGTCCGGGTCGGTTCAGATATGGAATTTTCTATTCGGAACATACGTACAGACAGACAGACAGACAGACAGACAGACAGACATACAGACAGACAGACAAAGAGACATTCAGCTTTATATATAAGATCATGTTGTAATGGTTATTCGCAAAGATTAACCTGAGGATGGCTTGTATCACATCTATTATGATGTTGCTTGATTGACAAATGAGTCTGTTTGAGCTTACCCTGCCCTGCCTGAAGGATTAAATCTTATTGATGAGCTCACGATAGCAGCTCACGATGGGCACCAACTCACGGAAACAGCACTGATAAAAATGTACACTACACCAATGAAAGAATTATAGAATGATCCGAGATAAGGACCCCGACACTTTCACGCTGCCCGCCCACACAAAGAGATGGCCCAGCGCTGGTAGGTGCGAAGTCCGCCGCCTTCAAAATCAGCAGCGAAGGCACGTCGCTCGCAACAAGACCACGCCCACAATTTTAGGCTCGCGACCGGCGGCGTAGCAGGAGGAACCAAAGCTATGCCGCCTGTATCCCAGAAGCGCAATTAAGGGCGCGAGCCATGCATGGAGGATTTGGCAGTCATCCAAACTCCGCCCCCTCAGCGTTGAGCCTGGGTATTGCCCTTTTTCCCAGGTATTTCTTGAGGGAAAAAGACTGACAAAATGATTAAGAGTAGAGTTTCAGAAATGGGGAAAACGGTTTCCTGCCCTAACTGAAAAGGCGGTTCTTATGAATGGTCTTTTACATGTCTTATCTTATCCGAAACAACACTCTTCATTCCTTAACAGTTTTCATGTAAAAATGATAAGCTGCCTATATAAATGGGAAATTTTGCTAGTAGTTCCCATTTTTTCCATGCAGCTCAAGTACTCAAGGAGGGCGGTGAAGCAGAGCAACGAAGAATGGAGTTACTCAATCAATCAATCTTAGGATTGCTGTGATGTGAAACCAATACGAAGAAAACATTTATTTTCCAAAAAACCGAAATGAAGGAGACATGTATTAGGTCGTTTCGAAAGTAATGTCGCTTTTTTCAAACGTACGCCATTTTTCGTGGAACAAAGATGTGTAAGATATTCTGGCAGCATTTGATGCAGCATTTCATTCTCTTTCTAATGATCATGAAGGTTGTTGCAATACAGTCAATGAGCTTCCAGAAAAACATCAAAATCTGCGACCTATGCTTTTTGAGATGGCCAAGTTTCACAATTTTTAAAAAATTTATAACAAACCTCAGAAGGAGTCCAAGTAATGGATGGATGGAGCAAACCCTACAGAAAAAACCACAACTTTTTTCTGCTTTTCAGAGCTCGTCATAATTTCTGTATAGATTTTTTGATGGAACCACCGAATTTTAGCAGGCTCGTCTCAGGCACAAATGCATCAAACACCAAGAAATTGTCGGATTTTGAAGCTTACAAAAATGGATTATGGTTTTACACTAACTTTACAAAGCAAATGAGCGTTCACCGCTTCAGATTAGCAACTTTCAAAAATTCCGGGTACAGCCGGAGGCGCCCTGGAAAACCTGAAATGATGATTTTATCTCGGAAAACTTGATGAATCGGAAATCAAAAACAGCTGGTAAAAAGAGGAGAAAAAAGCTGCGTCGAATGACACCCGAGTTGCTTGCCGATTGTTGTTCTGTAAGGTTTGAGTTGACCAAATATGAAATTTGATGGCATTTTAAAACTGATTCCAGAAACTCTAAGAAGCAAGCTAAGGACAAGAAAAAAATTACTTTATGTCCTATAGGGTTTGCTCTATCTACCTGCCATTTGTACTTCTTCGGTGAATAGGTACACAAATTTTAAAAAGTAGCCGAACTTGACCATGGCAAAAAGCATGAGTTGCAGATTTTGTTAATTTTTCGCAAGCTCAATGAAAGTTATGCAATGAAATTACAACCGTTAGAAAGAGGATGAAATGTTGCATCGAATGCTCCTAAGATTTCTTAAGAATCTTGATTCCATGAAATGTGGCTTTCATTTGAAAAAAGCGACATTACTTTCTGAACGACCTAATATCTTTCAAAAGAATGCAGAAATATGTTTAAACCGAATCAGAAACGTCTACTTCTCAAAAGAGGTGAGACTTGCAAATTAGAAAACGTCTACTTCTCAAAAGGGGTGAGACTTGCAGTCCCAATATTTGATTTCACCTTTTCAGTTCTTGTCTTTTCCACACGAAGACTATCTTTTTGAGTACCCTTGTTCAAAAACTTGCTAATGTTGCTAAAGTTCATCTTTTTCGCTAATTAGCTGCTGCTGTTTAGTGTCAATCGATAGCTGTATGATGACCTTTGCAGAAAACATGCACACATACGCACAGTGAAAGCCAAAAAGGAATGGAAGAAGAAACTTATCTAAGCAAATAACCTCCAGTCATTTGTAACTTAATATGTGAAATTGCACACTAAGCCCTATCAGCGACGGAACCTTTATTGGTAACTTTTAACTGAAACATTTTTTAGCCTAACAAAGTGTAGAAATGTGTTTTCTTGAATAACATGTGATCAACAGAAACAAAAGAGACAAGGAAACAAGCAGAAGTCACTGAAAACGAGGAGGTTCTTGTTTTGCTGTTCAGTTAGCGTGCTTAGTGTGCACTATGCATATTAATTTACGAATGACTCGACGATACATTATCAAATCACACAATAAATATTCTCATTGGGGGGGGGGGGGGAGGGAAACTAGTGCAAAGAGATTATTCAAACCTATCATGACAAACGTCTATAACAGGCACATATTCTACATTGAACGAGAGGTCTATGTATTCTAGTTTTCTGCATGCACTAAACTCTGAGTATAGAAAATCTGAAAAATTCTGGGGCATGCATTCATGCAGGAAACATATCATGCAACAAACTCTGTGAAGCTTCTCTTATCGGGGGCATGCAATCGTGCAGGAACATTGCATGCAGTAGACATTGAAACTGTTAAAACGGAGGTGCATGCATTTGTACAGATAAAGTTGAATGCAATAAACTCTGGAAATTCTGGTAAAAATAGGGATGCATGCAGTAATCTATATCGCCTTATCGGACGTGTATTTGGACATCTTCCTCATCCTCTATTGTGGCTGTGTTGAAGTCATTGCTACTACGAATCTCCTCGAATGTGGCCATTGCGCCTCGACTTTCTCCCTTCTGAGGCGGTCCCTCTTCCTGAGCGTCTTGTTGCGGCCTCTTCTTAGTTCCATCCCTGCCAGTGTGCCTTTAGCCACAGATGTGAGGCTTCGAAAGGCTAATATTAACTGGCCCAGGGCGGGTGTCTTTTGCCGAGAATTTTTCTGAGTCTCCTAAAATAAGGATTAAGAGGAGGCTTAAAACAAGAACCTTTATCTAACCCATGATAATTCTCAGCGGAGTTAGTCGTTCGTTAGACGTCTTTCCCATACTTGCACCACATCGTTTTAAACGGCCCATCGAGCCATGTGTTGCGCAAGTAATTCAAAAACTTCTTGCATGGGCCATACGCAGGATGTTCCCCCACGGGCGGCGTTCGCATCGCACTGCCGTGATTCAAATGCTTCGTGGGTAGGAATGGTAGCCCTTTCAGGGTCCTCCACCATCGAACGACTTGTACGCATCTCCCGCTTCCTTTTAAAAAGTGGAGAATCTCTAGGGTATTCCTCTTCCTCACCCAAGCTTGGCTTAGGTGCCATGCGCAGCCCTGCACAGAAGCACTCGGGAAGACAGTCCTGCCGCATTTATGGCCGCCAATTCGAAATCCAGGATAATCCTCAGTTCCGACTCCGTTTGATTTAAGCCTTCGGCAGCTTCTTGTATTGCGACTTTAAGTTTGTTGAATATGCATAATCCCCCTCGCGCTTGTTCTTCGTGATTGCGAAGAGGAGCGGTATCTGCAATGAGATCTATGGGAAAGGAAATTGAAAATTCTGCAAGCTCACCTCAAAACCTCCTGCACAGATCCCATGTATGGTGTATACCTGTCCCCCTTCCATGCGCACCGCGGTGCCACGTCGACTGCGCGGATTAAGCTTGTGAATTCTGTCTCCAACAAGTGCGAAGAGATTGTTCTCAACGGCCTGCTGAAAGCGAACATCTGGCCTCTAAACAACTTGTAAAAACGTGACCTTGACGATGATTTGGGACATGTAGATGTGCAGATCCGGCTCTTGCACTTGCAGGAAGGATTCCCCTTCTGCAAGAGTTCGTAGTGCTTCAGGTACGTTGGTCATCGTCACTTCGCGGACCGTTCTATTTACAGCACTAAATCATTGCCGTTAGCGGTTTAGGAAAACGAAATTTCCTGCGTGATTTTCACCGATTCAAAGCGCTTCGTCTGTCTTGTCTTTCGTAGCCATTTGTCTCCATGTAATGCGCCATCACCGATGTTCTCTTCTCGGCATCTATAAATGGCTGAACGTGATCTTTGAGTTGAAGACTCTGTTCACCTCCCCAACTCATTTTCAATGTTGTCCACAACCTTGTTAAAATAGGATAATGTCGGTTGGAGAGTCGCCTCAGGATTCTCTCTCACTTGCTGGAGACACTGAAATCCACAGGAGTTCTCCTGTTTGCTAAGAGAAGCTGCAAAGATTTCACTCACCTCGTATGATAATCTGTCGGCCTTGTCTTTGGTCCTTTCGGTGGGTATACACGAGTGACTGAGCAAAGCTGGGTCTTCCAAAAGTTCGTCTCCGCTGACCTGAAAGCAGCTACTTTAGGTTACATCTAACCAAACAAATGAACATACCGAAATTGCAGTGTATTTGTTACCTTTTTTGCAGTGCACACAGATGTACTTCGCGACGATCTGCTGTGACGTCTTCCGCTTGTGCATGAATACGTAAGATCGGGTGCTGCCTGGAATTTCATAAACGATAACTTTATGTATGCCCTTTTGACTTACCTCTCTGGCTCCTGGAAATGTACGTGGACCCTCACTACGAGTAGTGGAATAGCTAACATTTCCAGGAGGCAGAGTATTATAGTTCTGCGGGTGTAGTAGCGGCTGGAGTTGTCCTTGTTGCTGAGGTTGTGCCTATCATATACAAACCATCAATGTGTTTCAATGCCTGCAATACTTGACTGTACCTGAACATCAACCCTTTGTTCATGGAATGGCTGCATGGGATAATAATGGTTCGGGATAGCATGGAACTGGCTAGATTTGAATTTGCGGGAGTCTACAAGCATTTTTGAGTCAAACCTGGTCATCAGTCACGTATGGATACGGCTGAGGCTGAGACGGGCGCTTATGAAACTAAAAATTTGCCATAAGTTATTACATATAAAGCTGCAGTGGTACCTGGTTCTCATAGATTTGTTGAGGATGATTTTGTGTGGATGACGGCTGTATGTAGTACTGAACATGACATTGCTAAAAATCAATTCATTTCTAATCCAAATAGAACCTGGTTTTCGGAAGTCTGTTGAGAATATTAATGAGTAGAGGTTGACTGCGCATAAAACTGAAAATGAAATTGTGAGCTAGTCGATTTGCATCAGCTGCCGTTAAAACCTGATTTTTGGAATTCTGTTGAGGGTAATATTGTGCTGAGAGTGGCTGGGTTTAGAACTAAATGGAACTATGATTTGATGAAACTAGCAATAAATCGAGTGGAACCTGGTTCTCGTGCTTATCTTGAGGATAATACTGAGTGAGGGGCGGCTGCACATTTAACTAAATACATCTCATAAAAATGCAAACTACATCGATTCGTTTCAAACCTCGTTCCCAAAAAGCTGCGGAGTCGATTGTGCCGAAAACGGTTGAGTCTGTGGTGGAGTAGTAAAAAACTAAATAAATACAAAATTTGACGCGACTCGTCTTTTAAGAGCTACCTGAGTGTAATCTGATTGGTGTGGTATTATTCGATTTGTCTCAGACACCACGGAAGTAAGCTGAAATATAGTTTGATGTGCTTAATGAGTAGATTTGTTTTTAGACCTCTTCTTCATGTATATGATTTTGTTGGGAATGAGTCTGGTTAGGGATTGTTTCATTCCAGTCACTGGGGAAGAACTGGTCTATGTACAAATCCTAAATTCATATCGAATGTAGCGCAGAACTGTTATGTAAGCTCAACTCACGTCTTGAGGAAGCTCAGGAAAATCGCTGGGCGAGTAGAAAGCATTGGTGTTGCTATTGAAAGACATGATGCGTTGAAAAATTTTTCCATGGTTTTTCCTCTATTTATACGGAGTTCTTGATCGACTTTCCCAAAATCATGCCCAAACGGCTGCCAACGGCTGGAATGTTACTCGGACGAGGTTTCGCACCTCAAATCTGTATGGTGAAAATTGTCTTCATTCGAAAGGGCGAAACTCTACGTATACAGCCCGTCTGTTTCTTGATTCTTCATTGCTTCATGCGAATATAAATTTTTATAACACTTCTTAAACTGCTTTGTATGGTTTCAATTATACTGGAAGTGTACTTTCACTCAATTTTGCACGACCATATCTCTACCTTATGTAAAATATTTCAAACCTCTTCTCAAATGGTGTTGTTTCACATCTGAGCCTCTGATTTCTCTTCCAATCGATCTACGACACCTAATACTTATTATCTAAATTGTAGAAACGTATATTTGTAAACCTGTTTAACAAAGATCAATCTTGCTTGGTCTTTAAGCTAGGTTTTAACCTCTAATTATTCTTAATTGCCCTCAATTCCGTGGTGTCTTCTCTGTCACTGTTTAGCGCACACTGTGAGCGTCTTGTGGGCGGGGCAATGGGCGGAGCCTAATCATGGCTGTTGGGAGTCCCCTGGATATATGGCGGCATAGCCTTGGTTTCTCCTGCGCGTCCTCCCTCGCGACCTGCCCAGCAGGGCATGAAGGCTTGTCGCTCGTCCAAGATGTCCGAGAATAAAGCAAAACCAATCAAATGTGACAGTGGGAGCGAGCGGTCGCTTTTTTCCCGCTCTGTTTTTATTACCGAGTTTTTGTAGCCTATGCTCAATTGTGTTGCTTTCTTTATCTTTCCTTAAAGTTTTTTGAACTATTTCATGCTTCTAAATATGAGTCTTCATTCATATGAAGTTTCTTTCATTCTTTTTTATGTGTTGTCATCACTTGCTCAGCGCCTTTTGAATAATCGATATTGTAGAGCATGGGTCCAAAGATTGTTAGGGGCAAATCTATCAGCACGCTTTTTCTGGAGTTCAAAAGCAAACCCTTCCTAATTTGATGGTCCTAAATTTCATGCGATGTTTGCTAAAAATCTGCTGGAATTTGTCATGGCCCTTAACAAGGACGCTACCGTAGAGAAAATACTTCTCCTTTTTTTAAAAATAACAGATGATTTTGTTGGAAACTGCATCGAACCAGAACTTTGAGGCAGCATCGTCACCAGTGGCCTTGAAGAATCAGATGAGGATGTATCTTTACCTGAATGCTAATTAACTGGCAAGCAGAAAATCTCGAAAGTTCTGTTCTTGATATCTTTGTAGAATTTAAGTTTAAAAAGTACTGCGTACAGGCGGACTCCGTCCCCGGCTTGTCAAAGTGGTCCCTTCTTCGAAAGATGTTGGAATACCGCTTTAGCAAATGCTCGTTTGCTTCAAACGAGCCGTATTTACAGTTTTTATCAAAGAAAACATGACCCTGAGGAAAAAAATGGCGTTCGCGGTTTTCCAAATAGACGGGGAACGGAACAGTGGCGAACAGTGAGGCAGTGGGTAGTTTCCCCGCGAACTGAAATAATTTCGGAGCTACTTCAAAGTAGCACTCAATACTTCTAGAATTGCATGAAACGCTGAATCCCAAATGATCAAATGAAATGTTTTCTTACAAATGCTCGAAGCTTGATCAAGAATGTCGATCAATGACATGTTTTAATGAGTTAAGAGAAACATGATTTGTATTTCATTACTAAGACTTGAAGACAACGAAGCTAGAAGATTGTGAGATAATAGGATTTTTTCCGTACATTTTGTTCAGAGTTGATGGAAATATAAAGAAAAGATGGAGGAATTTGTTGTTTGGCAAAGTCTTCCATCGTAGCTTGTAAAATCAAATACGGTTTTGGATCGCATGCAGACATTTTTATAGTCGAAATCCTTTTTTAGTATAACATAACTAAGCATATCAGCCTGCGCCCTCCGAATTTGTTATGATACATGTGAAGAAGAAATCGTAAGTCACGTAACTGAAGTGATCACTACTAGTTATGAATCAAATTTGTTAAAAAACTTTAGCTTATAGATTGACTGGAACAAAAACTCCAAATCTGCCTTTACATGGTTATTCTCACGCTGATTATCTTGCAATCTTTTTCTGAGTGCCATTGATTGGCTTTAAGTTTTCAATGAACATTGCTCTATTTCTGATGTTATTGTTATTTTGCAGTAAGGTGTATTCCATTCTTTGTTTATATTGTTTATTCACCTCCAACTGTAAATTTTCCAAGATGAATTATTTCGCTCATCTTAAAAGATTGATTACTTAGAAAAATCGTATCTCCGAATCTTTTGACAATTTCTTGCATACTGTTCTGTATACAAAAAAAATTTGTTCCGGTGTTGATCTCCATTTAAAAAATATTTTGTTAATGAAGAGAAGAGATTAGAGAGAAAGGAGACTAAGTTTTGCTACTTTTTTTTTCAAAGTTTTTTCTTTTCGAAAATGACACGCTCAAATTTTGCCGTTATGTAAGCTCTCACTCAAGTTACAAGTGCAGTCATCCTATTAAAATTTTGCCGCCATATTGAGGATTATGGTAAGTGTACGGTGTAAAAGGAAAAAATTTGGATCTTCACAGATTCGGCTGAAACGGACCGGGCACACTTTGCACGATTTCAGTCGTGAAGCGAGTTGGAAATGTTCCAAATCAATAACTCACCATAGCCCTTTCAAATGTACAAAGGACAGAACATTTTATCAATCCACGTAAGTTGTACGTACTATGCATGTGCAGTTTGCTAACGTTGGATCTGAATACTTTCGACGAATTGCCGAATCGCGTCGCGACTGAAATCGAGTGAAGAATGCCCAACCCCTAACTTGGCATAGAGTGATTGACATGCTGATCACGAAAACTCTTGAGTTTTGCCTCAAACACGAAAAGAGGGGTTTATCGAGCAAATAAGTATCATCTTTGTGTTTAGCACGTCAAGTAAGTCCCTTATGACATATCTTAAATCTTGAAGGTGCCCCTGAACAGCTGTGCGTACAGCGATCGTTCGGCTTCGTGAAAAGGCCAGATCTCGGATTATCTCGAATAAGACAACCTCTGGCAACAAACTCCATACAGTTGAATAGTTGTGCGTAATCTATGTTGTGAACGGCTTTATCTTTGCTCAGAACCCCATAAATCCTCAAACTTCACTAAATTTCAAAAAATGCCCAAATTTTTTTTCAAATATATGGCTAAAAAGGGAGCGGTTTGCTTCATTTTGTAGCCCGTATCCCATTCTACACAATGTATAAAAAGAGCTCATCAAGATCAAAGAGCGAAAAGTTACGGAAGGAGGCAAAACAGACTAATTTTTGATTCTATTCGCTGGAAAATAATTCCCAAGAAGCCATGCCTGTTCTTAAAGACTCGCTAGGCAGATTGTTTACCACAGACGAGAAAAAAGCTGAAAATTTAGCGAGATATCTGCGAGTGTATCTAATTAATGTCATGTTTTGTATAGAACTTCAATAATAATATTGAATCGAGTCATAAGGTTTATACTGAAGCATCTAAAGCCATCTGCGTCCCTTATGACGCCATCCCGCCAATAGTGTACAAGCAATGTGCTTCCTCATTGTGTAAAACATTGACTTTCATTCTTAACTTTTCCATTAGTACGAGTTTATTTATGGAAAGAAGCAAATGTAGTGCCAATTTCAGAAACTTTTAAGCGCAAGTGATTCTGAAGAATTCAGACTTATTAGCATAACTCCCACTCCCAGTGGTCATGAAAAAATTGATCAAAGACAAAATCTACCCTGCCGCAAGAACAGCATAGATTTCCGGCAGGTTAATCAACATCACAATCAATCTTATTAATTGTTCACATAGTCGGACCAAGGCCTTGAATCCTGAGGAATTATCCTTGAAATTGAATTTTACGCTTAGAAAGCATAAAACAAGTTTTGCGAAGCACACGGTTGGCTTAACCTCAAAGGTTAAAATTAGCCCTAAGGGTACATCTTACACCGCAAAGCTTAACCTGTGTTTATCAAAACTCCCAAGGTAAATCGTCCTCATGAGGACGAGGCTCATCAGGATAAAGTATCCCTAGCATAAAGCCAGGTTTAATTTACCATGACACTTCGTAACAAACATAATTTGATCTCTCAATGGACCCCTCACCCTCAACGATACTGTTTTGACAACAAACACATTACTTTTCAATATTTTGTTGGTCAACTTGACACTTAATGTGCAATATAAAAAATATGTGCCATGATTCTATTGTGTGGTGGAATTTTAAAATTCAAAAATGACTTAAAATTGGATATTAAAAATTTTGATGTGCGCACATAAGTGGACACACACAAACATCAGTGCAGCCTTGCAAAGCCAACTGCTGCAAAGAGCGGCTGCAGATAAATGCAGCGCAACATGATCTAGCTCAACTAGATACGTGTTAAGTTGACCAACAAAATATTAAAAAGTAATGTGTTTGTTGTCAAAACAGTATCGTTGAGGGTGAGGGGTCCATTGAGAGATCAAATTATGTTTATTACGAAGTGTCATTGCAAATTACCTTGCTTTATGCTAGGGATACTTTATCCTGATGAGCCACGTCCTCAAGAGGACGATTTACCTTGGGAGTTTTTGATAAACACAGGTTAATCGCTTTGCGGGGTAAGATGTACCCTTAGGGCTAATTTTGACCTTTGAGGTTAAGCCAACCGTGTGCTTCGCAAAACTTGTTTTATGCTTTCTAGTCGTAAAATTCAATTTCAAAAATAATTCTTACTCTCAGAATTCTTTGATGGATACGGCCACAGCTCCTTAAATATACGATTACAACGGATTGCTTGTTTAGAGAGAGAATTTATTTTATCGAAAAGCTCTTTCATGTTCTCTGATTGTAGCAAAAGTGCTCCTAGATTATTTAATCAAGCAAATGCCCAGAGATTTGCCGAGGGTAGGGGGTCCTGCGATTTATAGGCAGGCGGGCGCCGAAAACATAGGTCGCTGATTTCTTGCGGCCC